CTTTAGAAGTAATAATGTTCAACAACAACAACAACAACAACAACAACAACAACAACAACAACAACAACAACAACAACAACAACAACAACAACAATCATTTAAGACTGGGGACACTCCGTTCTCACCAGTGCCAGGGTTTTCATAGGAGGCGGGCAATACCCCCACTTTGTGGGGGGGCCGGTTCAAGCTCTACCAAATTTCCAAACGACTCTTCGCCACCACCCACACCCAGCTTCCCGCCCTATGACGTTCGGACACTTCACTTCGTGGCATGCGGACGACCGTGGCTACTATTCAGGGCCCCGCGGCCGACGACGACGGCGTGCGCGCGCGAAGAAAAAACGAATGTGTCCCGCATGGTATTATTTGACAGGGATGATGGCCCTGGCAGGTGCGCAACCGTTGTCGCAGAAGTTCGAAAAAGTTGCTCGCAAAAGCCCGTTTGACAGAAATGTTTAAAAAGTGTTGGGTTTCCTACGAATCCGCAAGAGCGCGCGGGATGAGATTTTGACATTTTTTTGTTGAAAAACCATTGGTTTTTTGATGTTTTTATGTTAAAATCGCTCCGAACACTAAGCTTTTGGAAGGATTTCGTCTTGCGCGCGCGAATGTCCACTTTACCTTATTTTTTGCAAGGGATTCTTGAAATTTGATTATATTAGAACAAGAAATGTCATTTTATAGTGTTTTTTGCAAGGGAAAGCGGGGGGGAACAAAACAACCGGATCTTGATCACATCGAATTACCTGAGGCTTCCTCACGAAAATGATGAAAATGTAGCTGCGGCCTAGGCGGCGCAGGGGGGCCGTGCACCAGGGGCCCCAACAATAATTATTCTTTAGAATTAATAATGTTCAACAACAACAACAACAACAACAACAATAATAAACAAATAATCCAATTAAAAAAACAGCTCCGGGATTGGAAGCGGAGCTGGAACTGGCAGAAAAACGGCGACGGAGCCGGCAAACAAACGGCGTCGTAAGCGGAAAAAACGGCAAAACGGAGCCAGTAAAAAAGAAATCGGCCCTGTCGTTTCCAGGGCCCGCTGAGTACCCGACCTGGCCCGCTGCAGTGCTGCCCGCTCAGAGGGAAAGAGGCAAACGCAGCACGAGGTTCCTCATCTGACTACCTGCCAGACCACCCCAACCCAACCCGAAGACCCTAATTTCGGGTTGGGGGGGGTAGGGGCTCCACATGTGTTTTTTCGATGTTCCCGGACCCCCCCCACACTGGAAATGGAGGGCAAAATGAGGCCTTCGGGTTGGGTTGGGGTGGTTTGGTGGGTGGTGATCATCGACGCACGGACGCTCAACCAAAAAGTCGGGTCGGGCGAAAGGGGGGGATAGCAAAGGGGGGGTTTGAGAATCAGCTCACGAAGCTGATTTTCCCGGCGCCTCCCGGCGCCGGGAGGCGACCATGTATCGAGGAATGGGCCCGGCGGCGGGGCCGAAACCAGCTGCATGCAGCAAATTTCGTAACCCCCCCTTTCCCAAACCCCCCTTTCGCCCGACCCGAAAAAGACATGCCGCCTCCCACCGCGGAGGGCGAACGCCACGCCCGAACATCGCCGGCTCGCCTCCGGCCGTGGGCCGAACGCCCGATGGCGCGCGCCAGCTGCCGAGCGAGGACCCGGCAGGCGACGAGGAGGGCGAAAACCAACGGCGCAGAGGGGGGAGGCGACAAAAGGGCGAGAAAAATTGCGAAAAAAGTGCGAAAAAAGGGCCTCGTTCCTTATTGTCTCGGCGAGAGGCAAGCAGGGCAAGGAGTGGACGAGCCTTTCTTTTGCTCAACAGCTCAGAAAGCCGATGGCCTCCGACGGAGCTTTCAAAAACTGCTCCGACGCCACTGAAGGGGCCCCAGGACACTCAAACAAATACACACAAATAACATGATTCCCCATATTTTCCCATGGGTTTTTGTCTTCCCCCCCACTTCCCATATTTTCCCATATTTCCTGAGGAATCGACGATTCATTGTGTCTGTGTGTTTCCTTTCCTCCTGAGCCACAGAAGTCTGCCCAGCAGGCCGCAGGGCTTCTGAGAAGCCCCGCCGCCTTCTGAGCAGGCCTGCCTCCTCACACGTCCCCCTCCGGCGCGCCGCCAGATCAAGAGATCGGAGCATAACTCTCAAGTCCCCAGCGACCGCTCGGGACGATGCAGGCACCCCATGGAGCGCCCTCGGCAAGGCGCAGCTGCTGGAAAGCACCACGAAGCCCGGAAACCTCCGGAACCGACGGAAACGTCGGAAAGCTGCGGGCTTCCCCCCCTGAGCGCGCCGCCGGGCACGAAGCTGGAAGACCTCGGGAAAGGAACAAAAACGTCAGAGGACGTCGGATTTCCCCCCCCCCCCCGGGCGCGCCGCTGGGCACGAGGCTGGAAAACCTCCGGGAACCGACGAACGCACGTCAATCGCCGAGCGCGTTCCACGACTCGCAAACGTCCGAAGCAACACCTGTCTGCTCTGATGCAATTTTTCGTAGCGCCCCCGCGGGGAGTGCCCCGAAGCGCGCGGGATCCGCCGCAAGTGCGAGCGGCGATTCCATGCCAGCGCCAAGAACAGAACGAGCCGCAGGGGGCCCCGAGCCGAGCAGCCGCCGTGCTTGCGGGACTGTCCCGGCCCGGCCCGAGCCTTCGAAGGGCGACGGGGCAGAGGAGTTGGGCGGGGGGCAGGGCGCGAGAGGGAGGAGCGAGCAGTTACTCTGCGAGCAGCGGAGCGCGCTCGTCGAGCCCAGGAATGCCGGGCAGCGTCGGGCGTCGCCCCCGGGCGCGCCGCCGCTCACGAGGCCGGAAGACCGCCAGAAACTGCCGAGGAGGAGGAGGAGGAGGAGGAGGAGGAGGAGGAGGAGGAGGAGGAGGAGGAGGAAGGGGAGGAGGGGGAGGAGGAGGAGGAGGAGGAGGAGGAAGAGGAGGAGGAGGAGGAGGAGGAGGAGGAGGGGACCCCGCGCCGCCCCGGCGAGCCCGGGCCGCGCGAGGTGCTCGGCGCGCCGCGCAGGCTGCCGCGAGCCCTCGGAGGGACTCGCCTCCTGCGCCGAGGGCCGCAGCGCAGAGGCGGCCCCGCAGCGCAGAGGCGGCCCTCGCGCGCTCGCGCAGCGACGAGCACGGCCCCCTCTGGCCATCGCTCGGACGTCCATTCCCTCTGCTGTTTTCGGGTTCGTGCGCGGTTTTTTCGCCAAATGGTCAAGGATGTTCCTCGATGGCCCTCGCCGAAGGAAAAATGCACACGTCCGAGCGATGCCAAGCCCTTCGGGGCCAAGCATGGGACGCCGAAGGACATGCCCGTAGCATGCGTCCTCCTTGGAGGCGTGCGCCTGACCGGATCGGATCGTAAGAAACAGGCTGTAGTAGATCATTCTCGGATGGAAAAAAACATGAATATTAACCTTCGGAGGTCCGCCCGGATTTCTCGGATCGGCGCTGGAGCCCCCTCGCGGCGCCTCCGGCGCCGCCGGAGCGCACGAGGAAAGGGGTCCAGCGCCGATTCGAAAAATCAGCGCGGACCTCCGAGAGCGCATGCTCGTGCAATTGCTTCTGCCCCTCGAAATCTCTGAAGGGGCCCCAGGACACACAAAAAAATACACACAAATAACAGGATTCCCCATATTTCCCCCTACTTTCTTGGGTTTTGTCTTCCCCCCCACTTCCCATATTTTCCCACATTTTCCTGGGAATCGACGATTCATCGTGTCTGTGTGTTTTTTCCCCTCCTTGGGCGCCCGAGTTATCCGGGGTAACTCGGGTCCGGGGTAACTCGGGTTTGGATTCCCGGAAAAGGAACCCGAGTTAGCCCTGACCCGAGTTAGTTATCCCTGATGATTCGGGGCTCTGGACGCCCGAGTTATCCGGGGTAGCTCGGGTCCGGGGTAACTCGGGTTTGGATTCCCGAGAAACGAACCCGAGTTATCCCTGACCCGAGTTACCCCTGATGATTCGGGGCTCTGACCTCCCCGCAGTCTCGAGGTGCTCTCCAGGCCGGTCTTGGCAGAGTCGTCGGCCCCGGATCCTTCCCAAGGGGTCGGCGAGGCTGGCCTTGGCTGCAGGCCTGGGCCCTCGGGGCGCCAGGGCCCCGAAGTGCAGGCACTGCTGAGGAGGAGCAGCCGCAGGGGCCGGAGGGCTTTGCAAAAAAAAAAAAAAAAAAAAAATGAATTGCAAAAAACAAAAAACGAAGGATTGCCAAAAAAACATTGCTTTTTTTGCAATCCTACGAGGGTTGTTGTTGCAATCCATGGGTTTTTCTTGTTTTTTTCGCAATCCTTCGTTCAAGTGAGGGCAGGCACCACGAGGCAGGCAAACGGGGGCCCACGCGAGGAGCCGGAGGTGCACAACGGGCTCCTGACATACTACGCTTTGCGGTGCTCTTCTGCGCCATGCCGTGCCGTGCTCTACAGTGCATCGCGCACCCTTTCGGGATCATCGCCCTGCTCGACACCCGACTGTGCGAGTAGAGAGGGGATCTACGCCATGGTAAGGGATGGGAGGGAGGGGTAGGATGTCAGATATGACGCGAGCGCACCCAGCTTGTCCAACCCCCTCCGCCTTCGCCGCCGACGCGGCGGGGGGGAGGCGACTGCTCGGAGGCTCCACGGCCGTGCCTCTCCGCGTGGCCCGGGGGATGCCGACAGCACACGGAGGTCAAGCGAGAGGTCACTAAAGGGAAATTAGGACACACAAATAAATACACACAAATAAAAATAACCCCCATATTTTCTCATATTTTCTGGGTTTTTGTCTTCCCCCCCCCAATTCCCATATTTTCCCATATTTTCTGGGAATCGCCGATTAATTGTGTCTGTGTGTTTTTTCCCCTCCTGAGTCACGGGCGCACCTGAGACAGAGACCAGGCCTCAGTCCCTGCCGAAAACCGCAGGACTGTCGAAGTGCGCCCAGCACCAGCACTGGCACCACCACATGGAGAGAGCCTTCTGCCACTTCGGCGAGGTGCTTCCCCTGCCTCTTCTCTCCCTCCCTCCTCCACATGCAGCCCCCTTCTGTACGGCGCGCTCCTCCGCGAGAGGCTCGGAGCGTGCGAGGGGCATGTGCTGCGGATGCGCAGACGGAGTCGCGGCCATCTCGCCTGCGGCCGCGGGCAAGCGGGGGGCATGGGCGCGAAGGACAGGGGAGGAGGAACAAGGGAAGGGGGAAGGGGGTGAAGGGGGAAACGAGAGAGAAGGGAAGGGGAACAGGGGGGGGGGGGGAACGGTGAGAGGGAGGGAGGGGGGAGAAGAGCAAAAAGAAGAGGGGGACGGGGGGGACGGGGGGGACGGGGGAAGGGGGACGGGGGAGGAAGGCGGGGGAGAAAGGAGGGAAGAGTACGGGGACAGGGGGGGCAGGGAAGGGCGACGAGGACGCAGGCAAGGCATGTGCGCGCCTAAATTTCGCCGGAGGCTCCCGGGGACCCACCTGGGGCCTCCACACGGAGGCGTGCAGCCCGCCGCGCCCAGAAGCGGGCGCGCCCCGGGGCTGCCCGAGCACCCGACCCTCCAGGCCGCCTCGAGACCCTCGGGGGCCGCGGAGGCGCTCCTGGGCACAAAGCCAGGGCGACATCGGACGAGGACAGACCGGGGATCTCTGAGGTCCGGCACCTCGCAGCTCTCCCTTGGCACCTCGCTGGAGACAGAGGCTACAGCGATGGTTCCCGAAGCGCTGTGCAGCCTTGCGCTTTCTCTGCATGCCGGCACGTCTGTGATGAGCACGTCCGCTTGGCTTGCCAATGCGCCGTCGGGGCGCGGCTTCTGTCTGTCTGTCTGTCTGTTGGGTCCGGCGCTTCTGGAGGATGTGCCTAGCGCCGCGGCCGTTCCAGGGCGCTCCGGAAAGCTCTCAGGGCGCTCCAGAGCTCGGGAGCGGCCAAGAGGGGGGTGTCCAAGAGGGGGGGGTGCAAATCATGACCGGCGGCATGTGCGCGGCCCAGCGGGCCATGGACGTGATGAAATGAGAAGAGGCGCCATGAAATCTGGGGAAATATCATGGACCCCGCCATGATATCCACCCCCCCCTAGTCGTCACCCCCCTCTTTTTCACTCCCGAAGAACTGATGCAATGCCTCCGAGGCGCACGCGCAGCTGGGCAGCGCTTCCTGAGCTCGTGGGCAGCGCCCAGGCAGCGCTTCCTGGGCACCTGCGCAGCTCTTGGGCAGCTCCTGGGCAGCCCTTCCTGGGCTCGCGCGCAGCTCCGCGGCAGCTCCTGCGCAGCGCTGCCTGGGCTCGCTCTTGGCCACAGCGCAGCTTGCTCTGGAGCGACGTTGCCCCCCTGTCCTGGGCCTGTCTGGCTCCTGCGGGCCGCCCCAGAGCCCCGCAGGCCAAGGGAGAAGGCCTGCGCGCGAGCGCAGGAGGCCGCTCGAGTCGCGCTCCCCCCTCCACCGAGCATCCTCTCACCGATCCCCGTCCCCACTGGCGTGGCCTTTGCCCCGCTGGCCGACGTGAGCCCTGGGTAGAGGTATGCTGCTCCCTTCCCTTCTCCAGGGGCCTACCCCACCTAGGAGGTGGTCTGGTGGGGCTGAGACACCACGACCCGAGTAGGGACGGGGATAGGTGTGGACGATGCTGCCCCCGCAGGCGGGCGGGCAGCGCTCCACGCCGCAAGGCGTCCGTAGAGGCGATGAGAGACGAGGGCGATTTTGAAGGCGCCCAGGGACACACAAACGAATACACGCGAATCCCAGGATTCCCCATAGTTTCCCCATACTTTCTGGGTTCTCGTCTTCCCCGCCCCCACTTCCCAGATTTTCCAATTTCTCCTGAGAATCGATGATGAATTTTGTCTGTGTATTTTTTTCCCTCCTGGGATTTGTTCTTCCCCTCTGGAACGCCGATCCTGGGCCTGCCTGATTGGACGAGCAGGGCCGAGCGCCTGCCAGACCGGACCAGGCCAGGCTCGCCAGGCGACTCTCTCGGTGAGTCCTCCTCCTCCTCCTCCTCCTCCTCCTCCTCTCCTCCTCCTCCTCCCCCCTCCTCTCTCCTCCTCCTCCCCCCTCCTCCCCTCCTCCCCCTTCCATCCCCCTCCTCCTCCTCCTCCTCCTCCCCCATGCCCTCCCCCTCCCTCCTCCTCCTCCTCCTCCTCCTCCTCCTCCTCCTCCTCCTCCTCCTCCTCCTCGCTCCCCTCCTCATCCTCCCCCCTGCCCCTCCTCTCCTCCCCTCTCCTCCTCCCTCCTCTCATATCATCATCATCCTCCTCCTCCTCGTCCTCCTCTCCTCCTCCTCCTCCTCTCCGCCTGCGCCTCCTCTCCTCCTCCTCCTCCTCCTCCTCCTCCTCCTCCTCCTCCTCCTCCTCCTCATGATCCTCCTCCTCATCATTATCCTCCTCATTATCCTCCTCCTCCTTCTTCTCCTCCTCCTCCTTCTCCTCCTCCTCCTACTCCTCCTCCTCCTCCTCCTCCTCGCTCGCTCCTTGCCCGTGCCAGAAGTGTGAAGGTGAAAGGCATGCAAAACGAATTCGTGCACGGGGGAGAGGCTCAGGGCGACTCCACGAAGGGGGGGCCAGCGAGTCCCCCTCGGAGCGCCCAACTGCCACGCCAGGCAAAGGCGGCCCTGACGGAGAGGCATTTGGGCCAGGGGTGGGTCCCGACGCCATGCCCCAGGCGGCCTCCCCTCCCCAGCATTCCTCGAGACGGAGCTGGCGAACAACAGGGTCATGCGCGAAGGCGACCCGGCCCCTCCAACGAAGACCGCCAGTCGTCAGGGCAGGGGCCCCGTCAACGACCCCGTCGTGGGCAGCCCTTTCTCCACCAACACTTCCACTATCCTGTACCTCGCTCCTCTGCACGACGGCTGATAGACCTGCAGACTGCAGGCGCGCTCTTGCGACATGGCAAAGGCACGCAGCAACACTGTCCGTGTCATCCAGCGGCCTGGTAGCCCGCACGTGCACGGAAGCAAGAGAGGCGGAGACGGTGGTTGAGGCATCTCAGGGGGTCGGCTTGGGAGAAAGTGGTCATCCCTCCATACGTGACCAGTGGCCGCAGTACTTGGCCACGCGCCCCCGCAAAGCCGCAGAAGGTGGGATGCCAGAATCCGAGGGCGGTCCCGTAGCCATCGGGAGGGGCCAAGAGGGGGGTGTCCAAGAGGGGGGGGTGCAAATCATGACTGGCGGCACGTGCGCGGCCCAGCGGGCCAGGAACGTAATGAAATAAGAAGGGGCGCCATGAAATCTGGGGAAATATCATGGCACCCGCCATGATATCCACCCCCCCTAGTCATCACCCCCCTCTTTGCCGCCCCTGACAGAATCGCGGTCCCGCAGCCAGCAGAGCGTGTCCACACCAGACTCGAGAGGGCACCGGCCGCGGGGGGAAGGCCGGCAAGTGGCCGGGCCGCGTTCACCGAGGGGGGGAGACGGGGATCACCCAACATGTTGCAAAGTCTCTGGAGGCTCGTCTTCCCCTCCACTTCCCATGTGTCCCACATGATCCTTGGGGTCGGCGATGGTTTGTCTGCGCTCCCTCCCCGCCTGAGCTCTTTCCTCGCTCTCGGCCCTCGGGAGCCGTTTGTAGGCTCCAGGGCCATCAAATAAAGGATCCGGGGCGAAAAACTGTCCCCAGAGAAGCGGTTGGACCTCTGGGGCCGCGGATTGAAAAGATCATATCTCGGCGGCGAGCGATGGGGGGAAGTGAGAAAGAGAAGGCCTTCTCAGAAGGCGGCGGGACCTCTCAGAAGACATCGAGCCGTCTGAGGAGTTTTCCGCACCTTCGGGGAAGGCTCAGAAGACTGCTCAGAAGGCTGGGGGACTTCTAAGCCTTCTGAGAAGGAATTCAGGGACCGACCACACCGAAGTTGAAAACGAAATGGCGCTTACAACGAACAGCGAAACGAGGCCCGACGTTTAAACCGAAGGTTGAAAACGAAGCTGGTGCCAAACGAATAGACCGACGAAACGGGGCGCTGAAAACAGCAACGAAAAACAAGCGAAACGACAAACGAACAACGAAACACGAAAACAAACCAAAGGCCCAAACGAAGCCAAACAGAGTTGTGGCCGGTCCGTGAAGGCATTCTCCTTCTAACTTTGACTGCCTGCCGAGCCACCCCAACCTAACCCGAAAATCTCCCAATTTCGGGTGGGGGGGGGGACGGGTCCCATGTGTTTTGTTCCTTGCTCCCCGACCCCCCCGCACTGGAAACGGAGGGCAAATGGAGGCCGAGGTTCGAGCGTCGCGCAGCAGGTCCTCGGGGCTTTTTTCTCTGGGCCTCGGAGGGTGCGCTCGTGGCGTCGGCGGGGTCTTTTCCTCTTGCGGAGCTCGGCCAAGGAAGGCGCTCCAGGGGCGTCTTAGGGCTACCAGCCTGGAACATATCCCTATCCCTAAGCTGGGCATCGCCTCATCACAATGCCAATATTACGGGTTCCCTTAGTTTTTCAGGGCGCATCCCTAAGATTGTCATCGCCTTTTGGCGTGTCAATCTTAGGGATAGGGATAAGTTCGAGGCTGGTGATTAGGGGTAAGTTGGGGTGGTCTGGTGGGTGGTGACACTTCCCCCTCGGACGCGCCGCCGAAGATCGGCGGATGCCTGGGCCTGGAAGCGGGCGGAAAATACCGACCTCCCTGGGGCGTCTCCCCGGGCCCACGGGGGCGGCGGGGGCGGCTGGGGCCCGACGCCACGAGCCAGGTACAACATCGTAGAAAATACGACTGGAACCCTGGACGAAGACGAAGCCAAGACAAGACGAGAATAACATCGGGTGAGGAGAAATCGGGAATCTCTGAGATCCGGCAGCTCTGTGGGATGTCTCGGGCGCCGCGGCCTTCTCGGAGAATTCCAGGGAACGCTCCGAGAGGGTTCTCGAACGCTCTGGAACGGTTCTGTCTTCGTCCCAGCACTGTCCCACAGACCCCATGCTTCCGCTGCATGTCGCGAGCCAGATCGATCCGTGAGGGCCCCAGGGCCCGAAACGAGGCAGAATCGCTTGGTGTGGAACACTTGCAGCGCTCGGATCTCAGGGGCCGTCGAGGAGTCGAGCGTGGCCAGCCTCGCACGCGGGCAGGGTGGCGCTGAGCGGAGCGAGCTGGAGGTGCCTGTCAGCTTGAGCCGCGACCCTGCGCCCAGCGCGGCTCGCGCGCGAGTGCACTGGCTGTCCCTGGGGCTC